ATCAATCTCTTCTCCCTTGTCCAGCTGATAGGTCACCTGGTCATAGAAGGAAATGAGATTGGTCAAGCAAGACCTACCCGCAACAAACCCATGCTCGCTATCCCTTAGGATGTTGGCATTGGCCAGTCCATTAAGGATGGCCTCTTTATTAAAGTTTTCTAAGACCTTCCCCGGGATTGAAGTCAGGCTGATGGGCCTATAGTTAGCCAGATCCACTTTCCTCCCTTTCTTGAAGATAGACTGGAAGAAGGCCAATGTGGTATCTTCGGGCATTACAACAGAGCGCCAGGAGTTTCCAAAGATCCGTGCCAGAGGCTGGGCTATGATGCTGTCCAGCTCCTTAAGTATCCTGGGGTGTAGATTGTCAGGGCCGGCTGACTTGAAGGTATCCAGCTTCTCAAGATGTTCCTTCATGAGGTCAGCATTAATGGAGGACAGGGGATCTCCCTCACCCAGACCTCCCTGTCCCGTACTGGGCAGGGGTGTCCCATGGGATTGGTAAAAGAATGACACAAAGTACCCATTTAATAGGTTGGCTTTTTCCTGGGTGTCAGTTGTCAGTTGCCCCGTCTGGTTTAGCAGGGGTCCAATGTTGCCCTTGCTTTTCCTCCGGCTCCCCACATCTGAAAAAGGAGGTCACCCATGCACGAGAGGAAGCTTTGCGACCACTTGGATTTTGCTGAGTGATCCTCCCACGAGATGTCCAAGTAATTCAAGTCACCCATGACGACCATGGTCCTGGAGCATGTGGCCTCAGCCAGCTCCCGGGCAAACTCCTGGTCAAGCTCTTGACTTTGGGTGGGAGGTCTGTAGTAGACTCCCACCATTGTGTCCCCTGTGCTGTGTTCCCCCCGGATTTTAACCCAGAGTTAAAAACATGCTCTTACTGGATTTAAAAATTCAGTAGCAAAAATTAATATAGTACTCATTCCAGACACTTTATCTTAGGACACACTATTTGTGCTCTTCCTCTGTTTTCCAGGAAAAAATTATAACAAAATGAAATAAAAGTAAGTTGCCTCTGTTTAGGACTGCAAAAGATAAAAGCTTACAAAGCTTATTTTAAAAATAAAATACCTTCAATTTTGATCCATGGGGCACAGGTGGGAATCCATCTGGTCCAGGTGGTATGAACAACTCCCATTTGCCATAATCCATTTTTTGGTATGGATGTGAAAATGGATTCCAACCATCTGCAATTTTAAAATAGGTATTACTGCTACATATTGTAATTTTCATTAAATACATAGTAAGATATTTTAGTTATTTTCTTGATAACATCCAGAGAAAGTGGAAACTGAAAAACAAAAGGCAAGCGTGCATTTTCTACTTGGTACTACTTCATAGTACTGGATCAGATTCAATAAGTAGAATTATCTATTCATTACAAATCACACTCCAAAATTAATCTCAACACAGTGGTTAGAGAGTGAATCCTGCTTCAACTTAATTCAGACAAGGGAATTTTACCATGACTTTATTTTACTGCCAGTGCCTACAATAAATTTTAAAATACTTAAATCTGTTGGGGGGGGGGGGGGGGGGGGGGGGGGGAAATCTAACTTCAGTCAAGAACAGTGATTAACTATAAAGTATAATCCTGACAATAGGTCAGCTTCAAATTTGCCAGTTTCAGACACAGCCACTGGAAATAACATGAGCCCTTACAATTTTTAAAAAAAATGAAGAGTCTGAGGGAAGTCAGACAAGGAATTGCTGTTCAAAAAAAGTGGTACCTCATTGTGATTTTTGCTGCCTTTTAGGCGTATCATACCTGAAAAAAACAGAGTTTGAACTTATTTTTGTTTTGAATCTCAAGGGCTTCTGACCATCTAAGATGTTTGGGAGGTTTAGTTTTTAACAGATACCATACACTTTGGTTCTCAGAGGATTCCTAGAGTTCCTTTGCTAGAGGTAAGCTATACAAGGGCAACCCAATCTAATGGATCAGAGCATAAGGCTGGGAAGCAAGAACTCTTGAATTTTAATGCCAGCTCTGACTTACTGTGGGTACATCTACATGCGCCATTGGTGTGCCCAAATAAACTCTTGTGCAGTTCATGCAGGAGTATACTGCTCCTGAGCACAGCCTTTACAAGTGTGCCCAGGACCTCAGCACATTGAGCCAGGACAGCACAGCCCTAGCTGGCACAGGACCTGGATGGGGGGGGGGGGGGGGGGGGGGGG